GCAGGTTATTAAAGCCCAGCGTGCGGAGCGAGGGCAGCCAAGGCGTCGGTGCATGAAGGAGCTTGGGAGTGCTTATGTTGGGAGTTGCTTCAAAGAGAAACCAAAAGCATGCTCCTTTTAAGCTACTGCAGCAGCCTGTGCTCCTCCACTGGGGGTATGAAGACAGAAAAACCCTGCTGGACTTCAAGTCTGTTCTTACAGTTGCATCAGGATTATCACTGAGCAGAAAGCAGCCCTTGGGTTTCTCTAACTTACATTTATACTCTTCCAGAAAGCCAAATAATGGAAGTAAACACCCTCAAACACCTAAAATGTTTATTAAATTCTGAGAAACACTGTCCTCCTTTTAAAGAAACCAATCAAAGTCCTGGAGTAATAGTCAAATCTTATTCTTACTACTAAAATGCAGAATTTGTCTGATAGAAAAGAATGTATTTTAAAGGTGGAAGGAATCCTGTTTAATATTTATCTTTGTACTTTCAAGTACAGAACTGGAACCACCACCCCAGCCTGAATTTCAGGGGGCAGCTCTTGCCTGGGTGATGGGTGGTCCATCACCCTCCTTAAGATGAGATTTATCCCAGCTGACTCCTTCCATATCTTTAGCACTACCATTAATCAATACTATTTCAGATTACAGAAACATCCAAAAGTTCCAGTTAGAAACAGGGGCACACTGGGCCAGACATAGTGTTGAGGGGATTTTGCCAGAAAGATAACAATTTTGAGCTGGAAAATACAAACAACAGCTTTAGGAAACAGGACTGGAGGGTGGAGACAAGAGGAATGGGACCAAGGGCTATAAATCAGGAATTGGTACCTGTTTTAGGTAACACCTCTCCTTCATATGTGTCTCTACTCTTCAAGAAGGTTAACAGAGTTTGGGCTAAGAATGTGGCTGGTGACAGCTCCATCCAAGACAGTCATAGGGATCCATTTTAGAGTAATTGGGAATAGGATGCCCATATGCAATGTCTATGGAAAGATGATGAGCATCCCAAATCCTGGGCAGGGTTCAGTTGCCGTAACAGAGGTGCCTGGGGTGACCTGAAAGACACTTGAGCATCCATGACATCTGCATGTGACTCACAGATATGGCACAGGAGATCAGAGGAAGTGCCAGGGGATATCAGAGAATCCCCCCAGGATGTTATTTGCCTCTCTCTAGGAAACTAAATCCAAATGCATTGACTCATAAATGGCAGGGCTAGGAGGTGTTGGGTTGGGAGCATGGCTCTCTCTGAGAGAGCACCAGCAATGCCAGCACTGAAGGAAACCTCTGAAACTGTCACACTTAACTTGACATCAGGCCCTGCTAACAGTTTGACAATCCTTACTCATGCCAAGCCCTGACCATTCTCTCAAGTGACCCCTGAAGCTTAAGCCATCAATTATGACTAGCACCTAAGCAAGCACAGGGGGATCCCTAGAGCACCCTGAAATCATAGCAGATACAGCAAAGGACATATCTCCTTGGGTTGTGGCCTATTGGAAAGATCTGTGCTCATAGACCATTCAAACACCCATGAAAATCCTGTCTGTATTTATTTTTCTTTAAGAATCAACATGTTTTCTGAAAAGAAGGGAACAACAAAATAGCAGGTGTGTTGCAAAAAGCTTTAGTGAAGAGACAAATTTATTCCAGGATGTGCAGTTTGCAAAACACTATGTTTAGTAGCTGCATAATAGCAGCATTTTCTGGCAGCTGAACATCACGTTCTTTCTCAAAGGATCTCAAAGCATTTTACAAACACTTCCAACATATGGCCAAGTGTAAAATAGCACCAGGGAAAAAAAGACAAATCCTGTTTGCAGCCTTCTCTCTGATTTTTGCAACCAGCTCGCGTGGTCTGGTGGCTGGTGTCTTCTCCTTGGATGCCAATTAGGGATCAGGGCTGTGCTTTTGCAAGGGATTTTTGGATGTGCTGCTGAAGAGCACCACATGCCAACTTCAGCTCTGCCACACATCTAAGCATTTATAATTCAGGCTCAAATCTATGGCTTCTGAGTTCTTACACAGAACCCAACACCAAAACCAAAGAGCCTCTGCACTCACAGCAACAATGGGCTGACAGACCCCTGAGAGGAGCCACTTGTCATACAACAAACACAAATCTGCCTTCCCCTATCACCTCCTGGGATCAGTTTGATGGCACAGTAGTGACACTGCACACAGCCATGCACAGCTCTAAAGACAACAGTCACTTAAGTCATAATTCATAGAATCATAGAATCAACCAGGTTGGAAAAGACCTCCAAGATCACCAAGTCCAACCCTACAGTGGTTACTAGACCATGGCACTAAGTGCCATATCCAGTCTCATCCTAAAAACCTCCAGGGATGGTGAATCCACCACCTCCCTGGGCAGTACATTCCAATGCCTGAGCACTCTCTCCCTAAAAAATCTCTTCCTAATATCCAACCTAACCCTCCCCTGGCAGAGCTTGAGTCTGTGCCCTCTTGTCCTGCTGCTGGTTGCCTGGGAGAAGAGACCAACCCCCACCTGACTCCAACCTCCTGTCAGGGAGTTGTAGAGGGTGATAAGGTCTCCCCTGAGCCTCCTCTTCTCCAGGTTAATAATCCAGCCCAACATGCATGTGCTCACCCTAGGGATGGCTCACATAGAGTGAGCACACACCTACACCCTCCTCAGTGATGGATTGGGGAGGGAAATGTGGAAGAGGCAGAATATAACTGCTGGGTGTGCAGTTTCCCATGTCTGCCAAAGTAAACACTTCCAGCTCTTAAGATCTTAAGCAGTTGCCAGCTGTCAAACCCTGGATTTTATATCTCATCTAACACATGACAGTTCCAGTAGCAAGGAGCCCCAGGCACCATGTAGAGACATTAGTTCTGTGTTGGGTTTGTGAAAAAAAAAATATTAAAAAATAAAGTTACAAAATACACCTTTGGATTCAGCACTTTTTGATTCTCCTTGAAGGTCCCACACATAAATATTAGCTTTTTTTTGTAAGGTCAGTCAAGTTCACTCTCATCTAGACTCCTAAAGCCTTCCTTAACTCATGGTTAAGTCATTACTAGAGGAAGATGTGTTTACATGCATGAATGAGATCTCCTACTTTTCTCCTTAATTAAGAAGCATGAGATGGGGTTGATTCACTCTAAATGGGCAGAATAAAATGATGCCAACACACAAACAATTGATTCAGCCTCCTGCCTTCCCAGCACCAGTATCAGCAGCTCAGACAGCACTGAATTCAGCTCAACTTGTGCTCAACTTCCACATTATAAACCAAGAAGCCCTATTGACCTAATCCTGCCTTTTCATCCCATTTGGCCCCAAAGTAACACTCCTCTTGGGCCATTCAAGCATTCCAGTGTTTTGCATTGTCTTCTCAGAGGAGCATCTTTGCAAGCTCCACCTGCATGGCACAGCAACTGGGATCTGCTGAATTCAAATTTATGACTCTCATGCAGTAATTAAAATGAGTGGGTATAAGTCTGGCACGCTGAGAAGAGGCAGAAAACAGCTGTTAGTTATAAACTTTTTTTCAAACAGGATGCTTTACAAGCCTCATCAGGAACATTCTTCACTCTTTCATATAGACAGGAATAAAATTTACACATCAGGCATTCCCTATTGTGATTTAATCCCTGACCCACACGAGGCAGTTTTGATCTTGAAAACTGCCAATGCAAACTTCAAGAGTGGTTGTGGATTGAAGTGCTGGATGAAATAAATGGCAGAGACTCAAAGCTCTCTGCACACCATATCCATCACAACTCAGAGCTCCTCAAACCCACACTTGTGCTGAAAGCCAACGCACAGATCTTCCTGCTTCTCCCAACCTAGCAGAGCTTTTACATTGCAAGCAAATGAGCCACTGCCTGGGCCATTAGCAAAGCATTCCCAAATTAATGTTGCTAATTTGAGTGCATCTCAGCTGGGCAAGGAGCCTGCAGTCCTCACAGAGAGCTGTTGGCATGTCCCTGTAGAGAGGGTGAAGGTGGTACCAGGGTTTTGTGGCAGCCAGGATGGAATACAGTGAGTGCCTTCTTCCAATTATAGAATCATTGAATCATGGTATCATTTAGGTTGGAAAAAACCTCTAGGATCACAAGTCCAACCATTAACCCAGCACTGCCAAGGTCATCATTAAACCATGTCCTCAAGTGCCACATCAACATGTGAATTGTACCAAATCCATGAGTGCCTTGGGATGTCCCAGTGTGATGCTGCTTAAGGGCAAGAAAAGAATCCAGGGGGTTCCCAGACTGAATGAGCCACAAACGGTGGTAGGAAGGGCATTGTGGACCACCAAGTCCCCAGGCAGGAGGTGCCACCAGAGGTAGAAGGGCACCACTGTCCTTCCACACACCTCCCTGAACATCTTACCACCACCACAGCCACGCTGAACATCACACCACAGACAGGATGTAGCTGGTAGAACAAGACAGGCACAGCAAAAATCAGGATTATCTGGAGCCATCATGATAAATAGCAGTGCAGATCTGGATGGGAAATTAAAGTTGGTGCCTCAGGGTTGAAGCACATCTCTAACTATTAAAAACCAGAGCGAGAAGGAAAAAAAGATGTGGGAATAAAATTATCTCCCATTTCCACTACAGGTCCCTGAAAGAGGTTTCTCTGCCTTGTGATCAGATGAAAATTTTGGCACAAAGCTCACAGAAATCTGTCCAGTTTGTGTCAACTTTCATTTTCATAGACTTACAACTTCACAGTTGTATACAAGGTTTTTGCACAGGTCTAACAGAGTGAGACACATGAAAAACAATGTTGGAGAATCACTGCTGATCACCTCCAGCTCCTAGAAAACACTGACCAAGAAATCATTTCTAGGAATGGAAAATCCACACCTAAAAATGTGTTCTACACAAACATCCCACTTGTGACCTCTCATGGATTTGTATCAGAGCAAAGGCCCTTCCTGAAAACATTTAACATAAGCTGCTAAACATTGCATGATATTTATCCATCACAAGTTCCATGAGTGAAGGAAAAATGTGTATCTTTTACCTTGAACACTTCCATTGGAAGAGGAAAATTTGCTGCATCAGTAAGGGATTTTTCCAGAGCGCATTTCCACTCAGATATAGTCTTCAGAGAATAGATATCTAAAGCAACAACAATAAAAACAAAACCAAGAGGTGACTGTTTGGGCATGAAACATTTTTGAAAGACTCAAGTTCCTGTATCATACAAATGGACAAGTGAAATGAACAGTGTGTATATTCCAAGCTGTACAGCAATGGGTAAATTCAGCACAAAAGCAACTAGCAGGGGCATGCTGGAGGAAGATTGTGGTTTATTCCCTGGAGTGAAACCCAGAAAACATGCTGAAGACATGAGGATTGTATTATCTCATTACTGGAAAACAGAAAATTCTTTGATTTTCAGTTCTCAAAACACCTGATGTTTTGCAGCTTGAGGAGCCTCAGGTCTTCAGCCAATATTAGTTAGATTTGAACAGAACAAGAATTCTCTTTACCAAGGCTCCTGTTCAGTAGAAAGTGATTTGTTGGGTGTTTTACTTGCAGGTGTTGGGTGGGTGAGGAGAAGGTATGGGAAGAAACATTTCAGCTAAATTTCTACCCAGACCCATGTGGTACCACTGGTTGGTGCCACACTCAAACCAGAGCATCACACCAGTTCAAAGACTTCCACTTCTGGATTTTCATCATTATACTTCAAGGCAACATCTTTATGCAGCTTCACATTGCTTTCAGTGAGTTTCTTTACACAGGTTTAGTATTATTAAATCATTCTATTAACAAGCCCTTTATGGTTCAGTGCAGTGAAATGCCTATGAATCATCAAAGGAAACAATACCGTGATGAAGAACATTATATTGGATTTACTTCTGCCCTAGAAAACATATTGTTATCTTGCACATAACAAGTTATTGCAGCACATTCATACCAAGGTCTTTAAGAGACAAGATAGGTAGATAGATTGCAATAATTATTAAAATGGAAATGAGCAGTTACTCAATAATAAACTTGAACCTTGATATAGAGTGAACAGTGTGGAGCTTTTCTTCTGCCAGTTTGGCTTCACACACATCACAGTTCAATTTGGCTCCATTTGCATTTAAATTCTGTACATTGAATAGCCACATAATATTTACTAGCAGGCGAAGATTTACTGCTGTATCTTACAATTCCGAAGGAGGAAATAAAAAACATGTATAAACCCAGGAACTGGCAAGCACTGTTTCCACCTAGCACTGATGTTACAAGAGAATTTTATGCTCTGAACTCAACAGATTTAAGACCTTATCAAAACAGGATTTGCAGAATCACTCACTGGAAGTGGATGTATTTATACTTCCACTATATCAAATCTCTCTACTTCAGAACAGACATCAAGGATATGCATATGAATTTAAACACACTTAAAGGGAAATGTTAACCTTTCAGGGGGCAGGATTTCTAATTCCTCAGCTGTCTGGCTACTAATGGGAATACAGACTTCCAGTCTGTTTACAGCCTGGGCAGTGGTCACAAGTGTTAAGAAGTGCACTCTTTAGCTAATTGTTCATTATTTTATAGCCTGGCTGCTCTACTTCTCTCTTTCTTGCTGGAGCTCTGATCAGCTTGAAGCACAGGGACAACTCACATTGTTTCTTTCTTTTTGGTTTAAAAGAAGCCAAAGAGGGAAAGACTCAACACAGTATGATTTTGCCCCATGTTGCATCAGCCTATTTTTTCAACTCATAAAAAGTCAAGAGTTTAGGAAATCTCTGTCTGATGCTTCCCTGCTGCAAACAGACCCTCATTTTCTATCATGATGTCAGTGAAGCACAGGAAAGAAGAAAATGGCATTTTGGACAACTTTGGCCAAATTTTGGACAACTTTGCCTCAAAGCAGTGAAAACAAGCAGCAACCTCTTTAAACAATGTCAACAAAATTCAAGACTTCAACTCCACTGGTTTCAATGGCCAGCAAGGAATATCATATGCACAGTTAATTAGTGGTGGCTCACTTATGCTGGGGAGTACATGGACACTGAATTGCACAGTTAAAAGAGCATAAAGCATTTTATTTAACTGCTCTGGTTGCAGGTAATTGAGCAAAGTGCACTGTGTCAATTTGTGTTAAGGTTAACAAGGAGTGAGCAATTAAAATCTCTGCCAATTTGTCTTTAGCTTGAAAGTTACATAATGAGATGATCTCAACCTGCATAAACAGCTGAGTTAAGACCATCAGTGGCCCTGTGTGAAGCAGCCTGTGCCAATTTGCACTAGCAAGGAGGATTATTTTAGATTCAGATATACATCTGAAGGAAAAAATAAGCTATGATCCCTTTGCTTCAGTTAAAAGAGTTCACTAGACATACAGAGTCCCTGCAAGTTGCCATTTGGAGAAGACAGCCAGGATGGTATTTCATGGAGTCATAGAATGGTTTGGGTTGGAAGGGACCTTAAAGATCATTTAGTTCCAGCCCCCTGCCATGGGCAGGGACCCTCTTGCACATCCTCATGGCACATTAAGTGGGTGGTTGGATGTGATGGCTTCAGGAAAGAGACCTCTCCATCCAAAATGCTGTAGATGTTTAGATCCATGGGATCTCCTTTATCTGAGATGCTCTGTATCTTGAAAGACTGACCTCAAACTGCTGTGCAAGGTGAAACCCAACCTGGCAGATCCCAGAGGTGGATCAGCAGGGAAAAATCACAGCCCAGACACAAAAGGAAATAAAGCTGAAGGTGCATCTGCAGCATCCAAGTCATGGGTAGGCAAAACACTGTCATAGCCTAGAGAACTGATGTGTGACTGAACATCCTTGTGTGACAGCAAGGGAACACACAGCCTGATTTGGGAGGGGCTGCCTGTCCTCAGCATCTCTTCAGAGGAGATTCATAACTACTTTGATATACAGTCTAAGGCTGTTCCTTCTATCAATCATGGAGTCACCTTAACTGGCTTCAGATGTTCAAACATTAGACAACCAGGTCTGTGTTCACTGATTTCAACCCCTGAGTGAAAAAAAATAGGCTCATGAAGATGTCATTTCATTTTACCTACGTTAGACCTGTCTTAGGCATCTCCTTTTCTCCATCCATCACTAAAAAGAAAGCAATTGCTCATGCTGAACTGTCTTTTGATGTCTACACTACAACAGGTGAATCCAATCCCTGATGTGTAAAATCCAACATACTCCCCACAGACTCTCTTTCCTAAGAACATCCACACTAGGTCTTTCACACAACAATGGTCTTGCTAGTCCAAATCCTATTTACTGTAGAAGACATTGGGAAGCAGGTGAGCAGGCAAGGATGTGTCCCTGGCACAGTCTCCTGGCCTTAGGTCCTTAGGAACCTGCATTCTTGGACAGTTTGGGGTTTAGTAGCTTCATCCCTGAGTTTCTTTAGAGCTCTCTATTGCCAGAAGCTCATTCCTGACAACTCACTACTGCTTCCCTGCCTGCTTGCTTCAAGATTCCTTTTGCAGATTCCTTTTTAATTTGAAACAGATCCCCCAAGACCTGTCACTTATGGTTTTTTCTCTCTTCTTCCTCCGAGTTAACATCTCATGGGCTTTATTCATCCATTGCTTCATGAACATGTTGATGTTAAGTGGTCATCAAATGGCTGATATTGCCCACAATACCAGAAGTGGAACAACCAGCATTTCTGCCTCTGGAAACAACAGACTCCCCTTTGTGACTGAGTACTCCCTCAGAGCAGAGGGAGTGCAAAGTCTGACAACTGCATAGACCAGAAGTGGGGAATCCAAGAAAGATCCTTGGGGGCAGCATTCAGGAGAGGATTTGTGAGAAAATGTGTTCAGACCCAAAGGCTCTTTTCTCACCAAACACCTAGGAGACTCAACTTTAGGAGATGTAAAGTCATGACAACCTATTTAAGTCAATGGATGTCAGGAAGAAGATCTGGGCATTGAATTAATTAATAACAATGTCCACTAAAAAGTGAATGACCAGAGAAATGTCAAGGAGAAGAAACAGATTGCAGGTGAAGAGAGATGAGAACAAGAAAAAGAAATTTTAAAAACCATGGAGAGAGGATGTGCTGGTTTCAAAGAAATGCAACTTCAGCAAACACAGAGTCCAATACCAAGTTTAAAGACAAGATAATTGAAAAAGAGAAAAAGAAAAAGAAGTGGGGGATGGAAATCCATAGAGGAGGAAGCACAACTGGATAAAAGGAGGAAAGAGCACAACTGGATAAACAAAGAGGAAACACAAATCTCCTTTGGGCCATTTCTCTATTGATTCACCAAGCCTATCTAGGCCAAGAGAGTTCAAAATCAGTCAATGAAAAAGTGTTTCTCTGCAACACAAATACTCTGTAAAGTAACAGAGTAAGTGCTATTCATGCTCTCCAGCATTCCCACCTAATTTAGAAGTGCTAGGGAACATTGATTCCTACCTATTAGTGAAGAAAAACACACATTTCTGAAAAGCATTGGAGACCCAAGTCCCAGACAAAGTTGTGAACACAACAACTGCATGGATGGGGGTGAACTCTCCAAATCAGGTGTGATAGACAGAAGCCACCCCAGAAATACCTCTCCAAAGGAGGGTTACCTGTCTGCTACCACTTGACACTCATGGAAACACTTCACTCACAGGACAAGGAAAATGAGGCTCAGACCTGGACAAGTTGTTCATCTACACAGGAAAAGGTGGATCAATTTCTCATCCCAGACTGGCTTACCTGCAGTCCCAATCCTTCTCCATTCAAGCACCTCTGAACACTAAACTGAACCCTAAAGAGCTGCTTCTCTAAGTTGTAATCCCCTGGTGTTGAATGTGGTCTGGCAGACTTTTAAAGACTTCTCTCCCTTGGAAAAAATGCAGGAAAAATATCTGTGGTCTTAAATCTGAAAGACCCAATGTACATTTAATACAGTTTACCTGACCCACTTTGGACCCAAATTAGATGCCATTTGTGCCCTAGATAGAAACCACTGACAAAGCAATGTGAATGCTGGAGAAGAAGAAATGGGTTGCACAACTATCTCAAAACATCAGTAAATACCAAAAAGGGAGATCATATTTTTAGGAGGGTATTTTACTATCTTCTTGAGGAGCTATTTGGATATCTTTACCTGCAGGTGGGTCCATTCTGTATTTATTCTCTTGACACCAACCGACTGGTCGAAGTCTGCAATCCAAGTAAAACAACCACTGGTCATAGGATTCAGTCTCCTCCAATCCCACATAGCGAAGGCGTAATCTTCCTCCAACATTTTCAACCACACTAACTATCCAGTACTGAAAGGGATTCTGGGAATCCTGCAGCTCTATTAAGGAATCAACTGTAATGAGGTCTACAGGGTTTTTTCCTCGCAGAGGCTGTTTGAATAGAAGCAAAACTCCTTATTTTAAACTTTATTTGAAGACTTCTCAAGGAAACAGATGACAGCAGAAGATTATTTTTGTTTTTCACACCATCATCCAAGCGATCAGCAAACAGTCTGTTCTTCTTCTATTTTACCCAATGTCTTCCAAGTGCAAATTCAGAAGTAAAACAGAAAACAACAGTTGTGCTAATTTCTCAACCGACATCATCAACAACAACAACAAAAAAAAAGAAATAATAAAAGGTGGAACAGCTTAGTAAGCACATCCACTCAGGATGCTCCTGAGCAACTCAAAGCCCAGTTAGACTAGAGGATTTCAAACCAAATTCTCATTGATTGCAGCTGACAAGAACCAATCACAGGACTGGACCCTAACATTTACCTAAAACACAACTACCTTGGGCATGACCCGGAAATTTCATTCTGTGTGCTGATCTTTTCCACCAAATCTCATTCCTACTGGCACAGAGAGCAAATTCTACCCCACAGCCATGGATGAAAGAGTCTGTGGTGGTTATTTCAAAGCTCAAAGCCAACAGCAGGTTCCCACCAGCTTAAGTGGTCTTATGATCAAAGCCCAAGGCACACAGGATTTGTTGGGTCAAGCCACCATGCCCAAGAAATCCCAGCACTGAGGTTATTTGCTTAGACATAGTATTTTCTGTGTTCCCAGTTTTGCAGCCATTTACACATGTGCTTAACTTTACACCTGCAAAGCTGCCAAGCACAGGCATTAAAGAACCATGAGATGCTTCGCAGAATGACACCTTTGGGGCTCAGCTTTTTTGGTCTGTGATTGTGAGCATCGCTGTGTTCTCAAGCTTTCCCCTAACATAATGCTTAGATTTGTTACTTTTTATTAAATTCAAGTTTGAATTCTTACACAGTGTCTCAATTCCAGATCTTTAAGAGGAGTATTGAAATGACCCCAAGACGTGGATGCATCGGTCCCCAAAGGAGATGCTAAGCAAAGGCAAAATATATTAAAAATAAGGAGGTTTGTTTTTTTTCCTGTGTGTTTGTCTCTTTTTTACTTAATTAAACAATATAAACCTTTCACAGTCTTTTAAAAAGTATTAATTCTGTAAATCAGAGTCAGTCCAGGATGGTTCTTTCTAGAGGTGGCTCCAAAGAAAAAGAGAGGAGAAAACCTTATTTTTCAGAAAGTTTCATTTCCTACAGGATTTTGAAAACATTCCAAATGTTGAGATACAACTGATTTTCATAGGGTCATAAAATTATAGAATTTAGGGGTTGGAATGGACCTTACAGATCATCTAGTCCCAACCCCCTGCCCTGGGCACCAAAGCAGATTGCTCAAGGTTTCATCCAACCTGGAATGAACTGGCACAGGTTGGGGCATCCACAGCCTCCCTGGGCAACTTGTGCCAGTTCTCACCAATCCCTCAATCAAAAAATGCAGGCAACAAAATGAGAATATGGCAAAAAATCTAATTAAATTAATTGAACCCTTATCACATGTACAGTTTTAACCAGCTTTATGATTCACAGCTACTTCTCAGAACAGTAAATTTGCCATTATAAGCCACATTTCTGCAGTGGAACCTACAGCACATGTATCATCTCTTCAAATATTATTTCATGGCAAAACACAGTGTCAGAATTTAATAATATAATAGAAATCCACTTTAATGTGGTTTTTTCCCCCTCTCATACAACTGCTTTATTGCAACAAAACATTCTTTAATAGGAAATGATGGTGCAATGATTTAACTCATTAGAATAAATCCCTGGCTGTATCAGAGTGAATATTGCTGCTCTGATTTGTGTGCTAAATTTTAAGCCAATGGGTTGTCACTTACCCCATGAGAACTGAATGGCTAAGATTAATAATCAGCTTGCATGAAATAGTAACATTTACTCTCTATATGCATATCTAGCATGTAAAAAAATTAAAAAGATTCAAGAAGTAGCACTACATATTGCTTTAGCAGAATCACAACAATCTGCAGCACTCACAAACAGCAAATCTGTCGACAGGGGCCAGCATACATTGCATGACACAGACAGCACTGAGCACATATATCTCAGAGAACACTAGGAAAGGGTCAGAAACAGTTACAAGACAACACAATGTTTTCTCTCTCTGCATTTCTGCCTGGGGCTGCCTCTTCTCTCTGCCTAAGGAAAGGGAATGGAGAGGTTTGGCATACACCATCAGCTTTTGGCATATGCCACCTGGGAGTGGTCCAGGAACAGGGATGTAGCAGGACTGAGGACATGGAATATTCTGGGTGTGCAAGGGCTGTTCATCTCTCAGATTGAGGGGAAAAATGATCCTCATGGTCCACTATTAATGCTCCCTGCCAGGCACCTCATACTGCATAGGCATGGGGAAAACAATGCAGCTGTGGCTGGTGGCAGTGATCAGGGACAAAAGGATCAAAAATGCTGCCTGGGTGCAAACTGACTTCCAAAAAGCCAACATGAGCACTTACACAAAGGCAAACCACCTGTATGCCTTCGCTATAAGCCTAAATACAGAGGGGCAGAGAGAATGATCTCCTGCAGCACCATCTGTCTCCTCTCCAAACGTCCTCACAGCATCACATGAGAGCAGGGCAGGCCCCAATAGAGGTGTCCTGCTCCCACAGTTTCAAGGTGAATCTGTGGGATTTTTGTCCAGGATGTCAAAGCACACAGAGGCTCCCCCAGGTGCAAGTCACCCTGTGAATACACTGCACAGACTGGACTCGTGGCCACATGGGTCCTTCTAAAACACAGACACTTCTGCTCTTCTGACCACCAGTGATTGAGGCCATCTCACCCAACTCCCCTGCTAAATGTGCCTGCTGGGTTTAGATGGAGGGAATGTCCTTGGGGGACCTCTTTCCATACATACACAAACCTGACAGTGAACCTCATCAAGCTACTAAACCCTCTCTCCAACCTGCATCATAGAATGGTTTGGGTTGGAAGGGACCTTAAAGATCATCTAATTCCAACCCTCTGCCATGGGCAAGGACACCTTCCACTAGCCCAGGTTTCTCACTTCCCAATCCAACCTGGGCTTGAACACTTCCAGGGATGGGGCAGGGATAATTTGAAAGCTCAGGCCACCGGTTTAATGGATATAATGGGACACTGAAGGACTGTGTCCTCCTTCCTATGGATTCACCTTCCCCACTCAGCCTTTTTTTCAGTACCCAACTGTCTAAGCACCACCCTCCAGCTTAAGGGCAAACAAACTCCCCATCCCTGGCTCAGAAGCAGAGCAGACTCAAGACAACATTGCCACTGACTTTTGGCCGGCGCTGGATCAGATCCCACTGGTGCACAGAGACACTGGGAGCACACAGTCCTACACGTGGGGAGCAAACACTGCTGCAGCACACACACTGCCACACCAGATCAGAGAGAAACTGCAATCTAATACATACACCTTCCAGCAAATTCGCAGGAGCAGTGCGGGCACCAGTCAGATCGTGGATGAGAAACTCCGTCCAGTCCATGTATTTCTCTTTGATTGCTGGGGAAGGGAGGAAAAGAAAAGAAATGCTTAGCACAGGAGAATGCAGGACTTGCCACATGTATTTGATGCAATGGATTTGTCATATTTATTAAGGAGAAATTCTTCATTGCAAAAAGAGTGAGGCACTGGCACAGGTTGCCCAGAGCAGCTGCGGCTGCTCCATCCCTGGGAGTATTCCAGGCCAGGTTGGATGGGGCTTGGAACAAGCTAGGCTGGTGAGAGGTGTGTCTGCCCATGGCAGATGACCTTCAAGGTCCTTTCCAAGACTTTCAACCCATCCTGTGATTCAATGATTTTAGAAACATCTCCTCGACCTTCATCAGCTCTAATGTTCTGGGTACAATTGCAATCCAGACCAGGAGAGAAGCTGCTTTATTGTCCAGTTCCTTGGACAACCTGTGCACATGGTTAAATCCCAAAATAAGGGAAGGTGTTGCTCCCCTATAGTCACTGACAGTGATTTACAACATTGTGGCTTATCATCTCCTTCTCTACCATTCAAAATTGGCCACTGCTTGTGTAACCACTCATTTCCTGCTTATCACATCGGCTCAGATGTGTTTTATAAAGTCTCTTTGTATCTTCACCAATGACCTCTGAGAAAAAAAAAAAACTGTGCAAACTTTCAGTTCCTTGACAGGCCAACAGAAACTGCAGGTGCCTACCCTACAAGGCACAAAAATCAACCTCGGGAACATTTTCTATAAGATGCTCAGTGAATACACTTGGAAGAAACAAAGACTTAAAGAATTTATCAGCAACTTCTGCTTCATTTCAACAAAGAACTTAATAATACCTGAGCTAAACACTATAAGCCTCTGTTACTTCAGGACCTGCATCCACACAGTTTCATAAGGTTTGAACTGAAATACATAAATGTTATCTCTGGGATTCAAATTCTGGTTCAATTCTGGTTGAAACTGGTAAAAGTTGGGCACTAAAAGGCAATAATTCAGCAAATCTCAGCTTCAGAGATGCAGATGCCTCTTCAAATGCATTGTGCATTTGCAATCAGAAGCCCAGAAATCAGACTTTAATTCCACCTGCCTGTAAATGGGAATGAAGTAACATCACAAATATTGCTCTCCAAAAAAAATAAATCTTATGTGTGAGAGAACTATCAGGGATATATATAGTTATGTTGCTAACACAGAAACACCTATAGAAGGGAAAAATCTCAAGCATTTGTAAATGAAAAGATTTCCTCTGAACAAGCAACTGGATATGTGGTTTAAAACCAATTACCCCACAGGGGAGCTCAGGAAGGGCTGTAATTATGGGACCAGAATAATTAAGTGATAGCAGCCCTCGTGGTTTGCTCAAAGGAAGTGGAGTCCTTTGCTCCACACTTTAGGGAAATACCATGTTAGTCAACCAAGAGAAATTCAGTCTGAAACACTTTGTGCTTTCATATGCCTGTGGGAAGGACTTCTAAATCCTTCCTAGAGATGGGGGTCAGCTCCTGCACTGACCCATCAATGCAGAACCTGAGGTTTGCACCAAATCTCAGTGGTTAGAGCAGGAGGACTTGAGACAGCACATTCAAACAGCACTGTGGGCACAAACATTGCCACTGCTACCTCCAGTCAAAGAGACCAGACCTAAGCCTTCCCAAAACATATCCTCAGGCCATCTTCTGCCAAACACTGGATTAAAGAAGTGCAACGGGGGAGCAGTGGATTTGCCCAAGGACAGGTTTGTAACATTGCCTCAAAACCTGGACAACAGGTTGGGTTTCCATCCAGCATGAGTGCTTGGCACACTTGGATCCTGGCCCACACAATTTACATCCTCCATAGTGTTGGGCACGGACAAAGACAGGAACCATGCCCAGTGGACCTTACCTTGAGCTCATTTCTGAGTTCTGCTCCTTCCCCAAAATCCAGTTCTCCCAACTTGAACTATACATCCAGTTTACAGATCTAAATTACTTTTAAAGTGCATTTAAATGTATTTAAAATTACCAAACCTTGAAGTGCTGGACTTGAGCCTCTATCAAGTAACTCTTGAACTTGCCTGGAACCATTCTAAGTCTTTTGCAGCACTGACTTTCCATGATTTCCAGGAGATTTATGACCTTTATATCATTTAAGATGAAAGAATAGCCTAAGAAGAAACAATTTAGACATGAGACTTTCTCTCTCAACACTCCTGTTGTGTACACCTCACCAGTTCCTGTCCACCTACATTAAGATAAAGAAAACAAGCTTCACTTTGGCATCAGTGAGAAGACAGTAATTGTTGTAATGAATGAGAGTGGAGTCCCTCAAGTTGAGGCTTCTGCCTCTACTGTGAACAGCACTGGGTGCAGCAGAGAAAGGTGCAAGTTGAACTTGATTTTGGCTCATACCCACAAAGCTGTCAGCCAAATTTGGAATGCCAGAGCTTCACTACTAGGGAATGACAAATGTGATAAAAAGAACACAGTTCAAACTCTCAAAGCTGGCAGGAGTGGGGGGTGGGGGAAAAAAAATGGGATTTTCAAAGTTGACAACAGATTTCAGGGGCCTCCATTTCCAGATGCCCAATTTGAGATGTCTGAATGGTGCTTTATTCACAGATCTTTTTGTCTGTCAGTTTTCCTTCTAATGTCTCTCCAAAAAAATATTCCCTTTTTCTATTTAAAAGAGTTGCACCTCACAGTTGGACATCTAAATGAGATGGTGACCCTCTCCATATTCCTATCTGGATTCCAAAAGTCCAGAAGTGCCAAGGTGACCTTTGTTTTCAGACTAGACTCAGCTAAAATGAAAAGAGCTATAAAGCTGTGCTCAGTTTCTGGGTGGTTTCAGAGCATCCTCCCCATACAAATGGAATTTCTAGGGGTTTGCTTGATTTTATTCTGCTTTTGTGGTGTAGATAAAGTGACTCTGAAAATCTCTGTGAAACAATAAATTGCATTGGAAGCTTCAGGAACAGGGATCTGTACCTTCTTCTGTGCTCATAGAGCTCAATCAGCCAGTTTTGCAGTTCAGGTCACTACAATGCAAATATTAATTTTGAGTAGTAATGAAGTGAATCTGAAGCATCATGATGTCTGCAAAAGCCTTTGAGGACCAAACAAAACGTTAAACAAGAATATTCAAACTAAGGAAAATCTGCTGGATAAATGAGAATAGCTGTCAGTGTAATGCTTGGGTGCCCAACCTGAGCATCCACCTCCAGAAATGCTTCCCTGGCACAGCAGACTCAGCATCTGTGAGCTGAAGCACTGACTTTCAATCACTAATTCACTTGTTAGCTACAGGGAAAGACCTGACTTAACCTCTCCTACCACAGACAGGCTTAGAGAACTATGCTTTTTGAGCCCACCTGCAGCTGGCTGGACAACTGGTGGGATGGGAAGGTGGAGAGGACAAAGGATCCTGTTCCATGGCAACGTAAACTCCACTAGTATTGCTATTTCCAAAATATATTTGTCCTGCCTGAAACAATTTCAGTGAGTTGCAGTGGTCTGTGAAGCACAGATAGCCATGTTTTCTCTACCTTTCAATAAATCCATCTTCCCAGAAGACTCTTGTGAACTTTCCCCACCCAGAACCTGCCAAGGCATGTAGTGATAGGGCAAGGGGAAATTGCCTTGAGCTGAAGGAGGGAAGGTAGACATTAGGTATTAGATTTAGCTATCAGGAAGTTCTTTACCCAGAGGGTGGTGAGGCACTGGAATAGCTTGTCCAGAGAGGCTGTGGACACCCCATCCATGGGGGTGTTCAAGGCCAGGCTGGATGGGAATTTGAGCAACATGGTCTAGTGGAAGGTGTCCCTGCCCATGGCATGGAGGTTAGAACTAGGTGATCTTTACTGTAAAGTCCAACTCAAGTAATTCTATGACTCTATGGTAGCACAAAAAAAAAGACTCAGTTCAGTGATCTCACAGTGTGAGCTGAATGGAATGATTAAATATTAGACAACCCAGAGAGGAGACAGATATTAGCAACACTCTCACCATGGAAAAAGCATCAGTCAGATCTTGCACCAGATCAGCCACAGTAAGCCCAAACACAAGGCATGCACTGCACAAAGCAATGGTCCCCAATGCCAATGCTCTCAGAACTGCCTCTCCTTCCAGGTTTAACAGAGCAATGCCACAGCTCTGCCTGAGCTGCAGCTTGTGCACACAGATGTGCCTGTTCCCTTTGGACTGGGTTCAGCTCATCTCAGATCTACCACGGGTGGTTGTTTTCACACCTCTGCAGCTCCAAGGCCAAAGGCTTTAAAGCATCTTCCTGCCATAAAAATGCCACAGAACCACCTGCCTTAGAGCAAAGCAGCCCAAAACAGAGACCAGATCTGCATGTTGCTGGGCCAAGGTGTATCCATCACAGAACCAGTAGCTCTGCTCCAGATTGCACTTAGGCAGGAATAACTGCACAGAGAGGAAAGTCCATCTGCATCCAGACCACTACAGAAAGACATAAGAAAGAACCCACATTTCCCTCCCCAATTCCTGAGAAGCAGCTGTAGTGGTGCACCAGTTCCCAGACTCAGCACTGGGCTGGGCTCAGCCCAAGCTTTGCCTTTTCCTAACAAACCTCAGTGAAATGATCCACACTAGAAAAGTAAAAACCAAATCTCTGCAGCACATTGCCTTTGTGTCTCCCACAGGAAAACACAAAGCCCTCCTGCCACCTCCTATGAAAATCAGTCATTTCAGAGAGTACCTTCCAGTTTGGCAGATACTACAGAAGATTCTCAAGTTAGAAAGGAAAAGGAACTTTCCACATTAAGACTCTATTTCTGCAGAACTCATGGTACAGGTTATAAAACTGAGCTCCCTTTCCACAGGGTTGAACTCCATCAAAACACAGATTGCACCTAATATCCCTCAAATAATAATTTTCCCTTCATCTTCCTCTACTCTACTTTCTCTCTCCTGCCCCCAGCCTCTTTGACTCCCATTCCTCTCTCCCCTTTCCCTGCCATTTTCTCACTTTTACTCATTCACCTCATTTTCCCAAGCTGTGCCTTGAGACTCCAGGCTGTGGCTGGACCTGACT